CGCAAACAAAATTATTCCGTGAAAATAGTTCCCTTGCAAATTAAAGAGACACGCGACGCGAAGCCGTGCGGCCATAACTCGAAGACACGCGAGATGAAATTATTCCGCGGCTCTGGAATTGTTCGTACAAATTGAAAACCACGTTCCGCGAATCTGTAATTTAATTTATGGCCACTATTATCCCGCGTATGAATGTATTTTACAGTTTAACCGGGCGTTATTTATTTTTCTAGGATAATTTTATATCATACACCCTTGTTCCTGTTTGGGGCGAGAACGTATTTGGCGCCTATCCTTTAGGATATTCGGAAATAGGAAGGGTGAAACGCGAGGATGGAGGCGGTTTGGGAACGAAACCCGCACGATGCTCGATTTTTATCGCGGCCCCCTGTTGATCGACTCCCCCTCGCGTGAATTGCAGCTCGCCACGATGCGTCGAAACAGGTTCATGGATATATATTCCTTAACCGAACCATCTTATATGCTTTATATCGTTCCAGTTTCCTAAGCTTTTGTAGCGGATCGTACAGAGTTCTGCAATTCTCTCTCGATAGATATTGGGTCGGTTGAAATATTGTCTGCGTTTTTGTCAGTAAGCGATAGTCATATAGTGCATCGGATATCTTATTAAATGCTCAATGTAATGTAATTGAATGATTTTAGAAGCTAAATTGTTTCTGGAAAGTTAAGCAATAGCGGCAATACTTAAAAAGTAGGAATTTAAAATAAAATTTCGAAATTTTGAAATATTTTGTTAGAAATAATATCGATATAATAAACTTTATCTTTTTCAAAATATTAGTTTTTCATCGATTTGATAATTTAAAAAATTTTAAAATATACAAATGTGAAAAATTATTCTTATAATTTATAAAAAAATTTAATATTCAGAGAGACTCGTGCAGATATGTTTATAACAGAAATTGCATAAATTATATTCACGGATGATTTTTAAACGGGAAAGATGGAGGGAGACAGACGTCAAAACTAGAGAAAGATTTTACACAGTTAACTATAAGCTTCAAAGTTTCAAACATTCCATATGAAATATTTAACATTGGCCTTAATGGTGATTCGACGTTTGAAAAATGTAACTCGCAGCAGAGTGGCCGACCTCGCTGCAAGATTTATTTATCTTTCGCGTTTAATTAATAAACCGAGTTGTAGAAGACAAGCGTCTGGCTCGTCACCATATTTCAGAAAATGTTCGAAAAGGTTTAACAAACAATGCGCGTGCTTATCATGAATAAATGACACAAACAACGCATTGATATTTCGTAACAAAAGGTTAACAAAGAACGCATCTACCGCACGCTTTGCTCCATTTTCGCTTTTCAATTATACCGATGTTGTTGTTTCATAACCACAATCCTGATGATTAATCGGGGCACAAAGTTTTAATAGGTTGTCTGCCCGGAAATTGTATCATCTCTTCCACGTTGTAACGATATATTATAACGTTTCTCCCTTCTTTGTATTTTTCTCCCCTCTCTTTTTCCTTTTTTTTTTTTTGTAATATGAAATTACATGATTGTACGTTGAGAATTATCATATTCACGTAAATGAATATTTTCAACAAATGTATACGATTTCTCTGTTATTTCTGAGAACAGAGAAATTTCTGAGAGTGGAATATTTTTCAAAGGATTGAAGCTATTAAAGGAATATTCTTTCAAAAGTTATTTTATAGAGAATGATATATTAATAATTTTTCTATAAATAGAAAATGTGTAAAGTTCCATATATATATAAAGAATTATGTAATTTATGCATCGATCAGTTCATTTTTTATAAAAAGAAAGTATGAAAATTATTTACGTTGAAACATCATTAGTTTAAATGATATTTTTTTAATTTGAAGTTTGTAAAAGTTTATATCGTATGAAAAACAAGGAACGCGAGACGATACTCAATTGTTCGTGCTTTTCAAATTTTCACAAAATTCAAGTTCACAAATTAAACAAAAATTAAAATATAAGTATGTTTCTCTTAAAATAATAATTTTTCAACATAAATAACATTTTTTCTGTACAAAGTAACAAAGTTTCTTCGATTATTGTGCACTGAAAGTTATATACAATTTAATTTAAAAAAAAGAAGGAAGGAAACTACCTTCCATATAACTTTCACGTATCCATCTATAGAGAAATTAGTAATTCAGCATGATGTATCTCTTTATATCGAACAATTTTTGTAAAAAACAATTTTTTCATACTTTCATTCCTTTAGAAGATAGATATTTTACTAAAATTCGATAGAAAAATATTCGAGCCGTTGAAAACCGGAAGCCAACAACCCCAGAGCCTTATGTACTAGTCATTTTACCGTGGCGTGTAGGCTTATTCGATTAATCGATCGAAACTGACGTGACTCGCGTCGAGAGAGGATGTCCCGGGAAATATTAATGACACTAGACGGAGAGCTTAAAAAAAAAAAAAAAGAAAAAAAATAAAAAAATATATTTTTCACGCTAAATTCTGTCTTCGTTAAAACGTTTCGTAACTGATGACTCCGCCATCTTGATCGTAATTAGTGGAATTATATCGTCGATTTATTTTATCATTTTATTTTATTGTCTCTCGTCTCGATCTTGATTGGAAAATGTTCTGGAACATTTCAGGCTTTCTTCCGGTATTAATTTTGTTATTTTTATCGTCTAACATATATCGTAATTCCATGTTTATAAATATTTGTGGTTTGTGTTTGGAAAATAAAGTAGCAGAGAGAGGTTAGTTATATTTGTGTATAAACTAGTTTAAATGGAATGCAATTTATTAGTTTGGTGAAAAGTAACTTTTACTAAAAGCTGATGTTGGTATTTATTTTATTGCCTTGTTTTTATGTATAATCACCGGTCACGATTGGAAAAATGAAATAGTAAAGAGAGGTTATTATATCGCGAGCAATATTTTTTATACGTGTAAGACTGGTTTAAGCGGGATGCAATTTATCAGCTTAGTGAAAAGCAATTTTTTTTTTTTTTTTTTTTTTGCTGAAAAGACTGTTTTTGCTTCTGATATTTATTTTATTGCCTCGTTTTTTTGTGTATTTATAGTATTCTGTGTTTACGATTGGGCAAAATTTGAGCAATATCGAGCGATATTTCCACAAACCTTTAAAATGAAATGTAACTAACTTGATTAACTAAGCATACTTGTCAAAATATTAATTTTATATTTATTATTGATATATTTTATTATTTTACTTACATCCATATGTTTACGATTCAGTAGGTAGAAAATAAAATTGGCAAAGAGAGGTTAATATATTCTCAGCAATATATTCGTACATTTAAATCAAATGCAATTTATTAGTTTCACGGAAAGTAATTTTACTTAAAAATCGTACAGAAGAGAGATATGAATTTCTTTTTTTTTTCATTTTATGCCACTATGTTAATTTGATACTATACATGTGTAAATTTAATGTAATATAGAGGGGATATATACTTGTTAATCTGTACAATTTCGTAACCCAGTTTTTAAAGTCAGTGGATTCATAGTTACTCTTTTTTTTATTACTCGTTTTCAAATATTGTGTTGAGCCAGTTTGGACAGCATCCACAGTTTCGAATTGGTTTAATCCACACGTGGAGCATATAGGTCAAAACGTCCCAAGGGAGTCCAACTTCCGTTGACGTTATATTACGATTAGTTTCACATTTGCTTCACTTGTCGCGTAATAAAATTCCACTTTATAACAGTGTTCCATATCTCCGCCGCTTACTACCACTCAAATCCGTAAAACTTATTCAATAATTAATAATCATGTCGAAAAAGTAACAAGCAACAGGGTGATCATTAGTGCAGAAGCGGATAACGTGGAAAATATTATTTTCTGAAACTGAGCTACGTATTCTTTGGAAGAAAAAAACAAATCCAGATAACATTTGCACGTATATCAAAAAAGAAAAATTAAAATGGTCAGAGATATAATTGATATTATAACGAATATGAGTTAAGGAAATTTTTTAAATCAAAAGATTATCAGTGTTAATTAATTTTTTTGCATAATAATATTGTATGGTTGATAATAAAGCAAATTATAAAAGCAAATTTCTAAAATTGTGGACCAGCTTCATTTAATTATTTTCATAATTAATTTTATTTGATACAAAAGAAGGATAATGTTTATGCAACAGGCTCTCCTTGCATAATAATTTGTCAATAAATAATTAGATTACAAATATTTGTACAATTTATGCTTTTTTAGAAATATAAGTAAAATGTAGATTTTTTTGTTTTTTTCTCTATTAAATATCATATTGAATAATGTTTTTTTTTAAATATTTTATATATTTTTACACTTTTAAATTTCTCATAAATATATAAACGTTTGCAGTTTATTAATAATATTGAATTAGTGAATTGACAAGTGACATATTGCATTTCATGGAATTCTACGATACAAATAGTCTTTTTTATTAATTTAAAATTTTAAAAACGAAGTATTCTATAACTTGTCACTTGTCAATTCAACGGTATATTATTAATCACTTTTCTAGTTTGTATGTAATTGTCAATTCAATATATATCAATTTAAATTTATACAAAATGAATTCCAAATCGAAAACGAAATCGATAAATATAAATATTATTAAAAATATATCAATCGTAAATTCGAAGCTCTTTAAAGCTCTCTAAAGTTTCGAGAAATCAAATCAAAATTTATTGAAAACATCCTATTTGACAAAATGGATATTTCTTAAAAAAAAAAAAAAAAGAAAATAAAGAAAAAATAAACTCGAATCGAAAAATCAACTTTTTTCGAACATTACATACAATTAATTACTTTTATATACTCGTCACAAAACAAATCATCTCTCCTCTTATCACTCGCCATCTTATCTCTCTCTTCGTATCTATTCGAAGAATTACCTATCCATTCACATTTCTCAAACTTATAACATATCTTGCGAAACGCTCCGCGACTATACGCAAGAATACACGCTGTTCCGCGTTCCATTTTAAAGAACTTCCGTTTTAATTTATTCCCGGAAGCGGACGCATCCGTGACACCGGCCAGTGCAGGACAGGATCAGGAGGAGCAGCACCCCGCCTATTTCCAAGGATTACCACGTTTCTCGAGGATGGGCTGTTGCTGCTGCACGGACGAGCCATCGTCCAAGGTGGAGCCTGGGGTAAGGATTATTTTTTACGATTACGCCCGTTGAAATTTCCGCCCGGGTATTTCAATATAAAACTTCTGGTCGCGTAGCGTTGCGGGATGCGGTAAGTGAAACGGGTCAGGTCAACGTGTTTCGCTTTAAACTTCCCGCGTAAATTCTTGTCGCGTAATTGTGGAAGAGAGAAAAGTAATTATTCGTGAACACGTGTGTACGTAGTACGTATACGTTTTAATTATCGTTTGTATGCGCGTTGATGATAAATTATTCCATTATTGGGATGTTCGACGTACGTTTAACTTATATAATAAATATTATGCATAATGGTACGTATAATGGTATATAGTTGATTTATCACTCGTAGAAGGAAAGTTCATTTTTTCTTATTCAGTAGTTGAATTAATAAAATTATGTTTTACAATAATTGTTAGAAATGAGAATTAAATAAAAGAGTAGATATTTTAAACTCACATTATAGTGAAGAACATTCGTTTTTTGAGATCATCCCTTTTGATTCATAAAGATATGATCTTACTTAAAAAAACAGTATTTTCTCGTTTGTATCCTAATATTTTTCATTTATTACTAATTCCTCTTGCCAGAAATATAATCATACTCGCTGAGCACTATAAGTTTTTCAATTATATTTTTTATTACGCTGTTTTCTTCATTATAAACGAACATTTTTTTTATATTATATTCATGAATATATGTATGAACTCTCCATTAATGAGTCTTATCTTCTTCTTACTGCGCGTTATTTAAATTTTTCTTTATATGTACAAAGAACGCATTTATAAAAATGATAATATTTCGTAATCATCGACGAGTGTGTATTAAAATATCTTAAATTTGATACAATAAATTTTGAGATTAGGATCAAAAGTATAAAAGTAACAAAAAAAAAAAAAAAAAAAAAAGAAAAAATTTCAAAGAAAATTGCGGATAAACGAAAGAAATTCACTCTTGGAAAAGCTTTTTAACTTGTCTTGTTATTTTTATCTTGTTAGTCAGCAAATGAATAGAGTTCATTTATTTTATTTAGAGATCTTTTTTAAAGATTTGATTAAAATCTTGATGACAGGATAAGTATCGCGACAGATTTCAATAGTAATGTAGAGCAAAAAAATAAAAAAATAAAAAACAATGGAGGATGAAATTCTATGTAAAATAAAATATTTGAAGAATTATAGATGTTAAAATATAATTTTCAATTCAATTATAAAAAAATTTGATAGGGAATCAATCGCCAACTTTAATTCTTAAGTCAATATTTAATATCTCGATAGATTCATATAGATTCATTGTTTAGAGAATACAAAATATGTTTTATAAAAAAATTAGAAAAAATTTTAAAAGTCTAACATCTATAACATCTATAATAATTCCTAACATTTAACAAAGCATAAAATTTCATGAATCTATAAATAAAATATTTGAGGAATAATTATAAAGGCATTGTTTCTCGTATATTTAATCATTTTGATAATAAAAACTTCTTAGTTCAACTTTAGATTAAATTTTTTAAATTGACTTGCACCTGAATCGGATTGCATTTCGATTCTCAATTTTATTATTTTGTCATTGTATTATTACAATCAATAACAATTTATATTTTTATAAGCAAATAAAATCTTTGTTACAGAATATTGTATAACAATATATCTTTCTTTTCTCAAATTCTTGAATTATAGATATAAAATAAAAAAACCAGTTCAGATAGCGAATATCAGAATTAGTGTATTTGTGCATTAATGCGTTAACGCCTTTTTACGACGGTAAATACAGATAAATGATTTAATTATAATTGTTTGTTTCTCGTATTCTAAAATGTAATTGAGCAAGGGGTAATCTTAAACTAGTAATCATTAGCGTGCATAGAAATCATGTATTCACAGTAACAGATGAAACTGTTGTTTTTGTGCTTACTATTGTATTCTTTAATTGTACAGTTGATGTATAGGGTGGTACATAAATAACGAGATAATTGAAGTTCAAGTTTTAGTATGAAAAATCTCGACTCTCTTGAAATATAATGGAGTAAATATTGGATATTTTGATCGATTTAATAACGTAGAAATAAATAAACACTCGATAATGACAGGATGTTCTCGTTATAGTGGCAATTACTGTTCTCTGTGATTATATTGTCACTCTAACGAGAAATGCAAAAGCAATAATTATCTTTCGTACTTATATTGTAATTAACAATTGAACAAACAATGAATTGTAAAGCAGTAAACTGATAAATAACTATTATCTTAGTGATTATTTTGTTATCGGTGAATAGAAATTACAGAGAAAATAATTGATTGAAATGTTTTAAACACAAATAACATATTGCAATAATAAATAACGTTTCGTTGATACTGGTAAATATATAAATATCATTTATAAAATAAATTTTTAAATGGATATTTTAGAATAGTGAAAAGAATCAAATAATTAAAATGAAACGAATTATTCTAATAATGACGATGTTTTGTGATATGGGGTATTAATATAGGGTATCAATGATTTACATTTCTAGAAAGTTTTGTAAAAACACTGATATAATGAAAATAAATCTAATAAAGCTTATTTTTCAAACTTTTTCACAAGAAATTTAATTCTACGAAAAAATACCTGAACGTAGACAATACACTTAAATTTTTATATAAATTTATATAAAAAATAGTAGGGATTCTTCTAACAAGATTTTGAAAATTAAATCAATTAAAAAAAATAAATTAAACAATTCATAAATTACACTAAAAATTATTCAAAATAAAGATAAAATATTTCAATATTTAAGTATAAAATATTTAATTTTCTGTCCTATATAAAAATTCATACGAGTCCATAAAATTAAATATAGAATTTTTTTCCCTATCTAATAACTAACAATTAATATTTGTAATTTATGAAATTTTTATTTATGTAATATTAATATCGCAAAATTTTGTTTTTCATTGTCTCATATACTATACATTATTTCACATAATAATAAAATTTTCATTTGAAAGAAGGGAAGAAAGGGAGTGTCTTGATGAAGTTTTTAATTTTGTTTGAGAAATTTACATAAAAAACACGCGTATTAGTTTCTCATGGCCGTTTAAGATTAACATATAGTATTGAACGAGTTTCTAGGTCGCTATTCTTTAGATAAACTTTCATTATGAAATTTCATGGTTTCCCTTTAAACTAGGCAAAATTAAAGGGATAAGAGATAAGTGATTAACGTTTAAAAATATTAATTTCACATTAAAATATTTGAAAACATAGAGAATAATATTTTTTCACATTGTTCCAATAAATGTCAATTTTTATCGTTCTATTCAAAAAATCATATTTTTTTTTTTCTGACAACTGTGATATTTTTTATCTCATATTTTATTATCTTATATTTTCACAAAAACAGACAGATATCCTATAATTGATAAGCTCAAAAAGATTTGTTTTTTGTAACAATACATATTATCAACATATTATCTGACAGTTGTCAGAACAATATAAACGTATCAATAAATATGCATGCAAAGAAATATATTTATATTCTATTTCACATTTAATAATGTATCAATATTTACTATTATTAAATTCATAATTAACATTGTTCATCTTCAAAATCTCGTATCAGTTTTATCACAGACAAGATAGTATAGATACATCATCCAATAAATCTTTATGACATATATCCTGCTATGTTATTATTAATTTTAAAATTATATCCAATATTATGAATTTAGAATGGTATGAAACAATAGTCTACAAGAAATCGAATGTCTAAAAGAAATCGAAATTATATAATATTCAATTCTTTTTGATATAAAAATTATAATCACAATCGATTTATGTAATTAAAATTTATCGTTAATCATTGTTATTGTTTATCTTTACATCAGATTTTCTCACAAGACAGATTACTAAATTTCCTTTTATATATATTTTTATATATATTTTTATATATATCTAATATATATTTTTATGTTTTTTGAAAAAACAAGATATTTCAGTTGATAAAATAGATAATGTATGATATATTTGAAATTTTTGATTCTTTAAATCCTTTTTTTTTAATCTAAAATTTCTTGAATGAAGAAATTTCTGTCTACTACACATTGAAATCATATTAATCCAATAACAGATTTTACGTCATTTTCATAAATTTCGAAAACTACGGAAATTTAATTTCCAAAAATAGCCGAAATTTCTGGAAAAATTTCTCGAACAATAATATCAATTTATGTTCTTCTAATACAAAATGCAATTTTCAAACAAAAATTTAGAGCAAGTTTCACGTTATATATGAGTCAGCACTTTTTTATAGAGAATGCTAAGATAAATCAACTAGACTATAAAAAATATATAATTCTATTTAAGAAAATAATATTCACTTTTATAAATCCTTTAGGCTTTTATGAATAAGAAAATTAATAAAAATAGAATGTGTTTCCAACGAAACTATTCAACTTTTATTTGAAACATTTTTTAATATTTCCAAAAACAAATATGATATATCAGATAACTATTCGGACACCCGCTATATTATATTATGCAATCGATTATTAAAACAAACGAAATATTCCAAATAATAAAATAAGGATACTTGAATTCATAAAAAATTTAAAAAATAATAAACATATTAAAAATAAAAATAAACTGTGAAAACGAATGCAAAGGTCCTGACCCCCACGCGCTAGAAGGCGACCCCGCGAGGGCTCATCCTTCGAAACCGCCCTCTAACGCGACGATTGGTTCCTCTAATCCCCTCTCAGTGTGCATGTCTCCCGCAAAGACTGGAAGAGAAACAAAGGCTCGCCAGAATCATTCAGTTAAGTAACAATAGAAATAGAAAACAATGCAGATAGAATTCACAGAGGGTATAGTTTACATCAAAAATACAATCAGTCATTACATTATAGTTCGCAGAGAAATAAAATACTAAAATTCGTTTATACAAAGCACATAATGTAAACGAATATATATATTAGATATTTCAGAGTTTCCGAGAATTTAACGTCATTTCTTGGAAA